AACGATGGCATATCCATCGACGATGAAACCTGCAACGCATGATGATGGTATCAAAACATAAGCTATGGAACATTTACAGTGCAGTATTTTACTTATTTGGGAATGAGAAATATGTTTAAGGTTACAGAAAGCAATGGGTGTACCAGAGAGCATATTTTTCCATTTTCTACCAGAATTTTTTTACATAACGTGTATGGGCAGAGATGAAGGCAGCAATAGGACTTAACTCCACTCTTCTCTGTGCCACACCCAAGTCCTGATATGACAGTCAAATTACATGAAAACTGCAGTTAAGAAATCAGGATGAAGAACAAGGAAAGTGCAATGCTGAGATTTGAAGTTCTCATGGCATCGAGTACAAAGAAGTTACACCAAGTGGCCTGGTAGAAGTTTACTGACATTTGATTTTAGAGTTTCCTGATACCTCCAGCATCAGAAGACTACCATCTTCATATTCTCCACCTTAAGAACCTCAAATCTCAATTGATACTATTTGTTTTGACTCTGAAATAAGTCAAAGGAAAGAAAAATTTATGTAAAAATACTCTGTACACTTGGCAGAATAATTCCATCCAGACTGTAAAGCATCCTTCAAGAAACAAAAAGTTCTGTCCATAGTAACAGAAAGAGTTATGCAGTTACTGCATCAGTTGCGGCTGAAGCAAACACACTGCAGCACCATGTGAAGAGGAACTCACCTCTGAACCTTCCTCATCTCCCTGGTCAGATGCTGTTGGCATCTGACCAGTGACGGAGGCAGTCTGTCCTGCAATCCCACCGGAAGCTGAAGCCGCTGAAGAAGAGAAAAATCTTTTGGGATGCTGAGAATCTACCATGTCTCCACCAGGTGACAGAACAATTGCCGACAGTTTCCATGACATGTGAGTGGCCAAATGGACACATTCCGCTTCACCAATCTGACGCAAAACGGCTTCTTTGCTAGCCTGCAACAGTACGTAATCTTTCATGTCTCCACTGTCACTACACAGTGCACATAAAAAAGTAGTCTCCAAAGAACTACATAACTTATGTAATGAAATCCCCATTTAATGCTCCACAGTGAAAAATTTTTCTTCATTCAAAGTTCAACTTCAATGATCTCTAGTAAGTAACTAAAGCGTTGAATTTTCTTGGTTTATCGTACAGGATCACTGTCTTCCGACCAAACTTTGAATGGGAAATTATTTGTGTTTTATTTGGTAGTCAGTCAGTCTGTCAGTTTATCAGTTGGCGTGCATGAAACAACTTGTCTTACTGCACTTGTTACCCAATGTGGCAAAACTTATCACAGAAATAATATTGTCCATGAGTAGTATGGATAACGGCAGGAAAGTTGGTGAGGAATACAGGCGAGAAGTGTAACAGTCTGAGGAAGATGCAGGCGGCGCCAATAATAGGATATTTTTGTGCGGCCTAACTACAGGACCTACAGACACCAAACAGATTAAGATATGACAACATGTTGGCAGGTCCTCTGGTTGTACAAAGAATAACATAAATGTGGAATAAGACCCTGCAACCTGAATGTCAAACACTGTTCCTGGTGCCTGGACTGCAGTACCTGAGCAGCAACCAGAGCCTGAGCCTGCAACATGTCGGCTACCATGACGGCCTCTTGCTCGGCATGTGGAATGTCTCCCCACCCCCACTGCTCGGTCACCAACGCGGGCAGCTGGGGGTTCCCGATTACGAGCGCAGACATGTTGTTTGTTGCCTCAGTGGTGCCAGCACCTGTCTTGTTAGTGGACGCCATCACCGCACGAGCGGTTCGCTGATTGGACCGCAGTGATGCGAGAGAGGGAACCACAAGAAGGCTGAAGCGTTCACAGAGATACTCAGACGTGTCTCCAGTACCACCTGGCTTAAGAACTGGGAATGGGACCTGGTACAGTTCTCCCTCCAGGACAAGTAGAAGCTCACGACGTCCGGCACAGCCCTTCCCGTGTGGCACTGCACAAGACACAGCAAGTGAGGATCAGATGTGATGTCTGACTTCAACTAGGGCAGCTGAGGCCAAAGGTTTAACACTTTCATACACAGGTAGCCTGTCTACTGGTAACTGTGATGCATAATTAAAAGAACTGTAACATCCAGACTGACATATCTATAAATCTGTACAGTGAGTACAAATAATAAATAGTTATCCATCCATTTTAAAGGCATAAAATTTCTTGTGAAACTGGCTCACAAACACATTACGTACACGTCCCATTTCCTGACTTGCTACATGTAGTGGGCAGGCAATCCTCAAATGGAGCAATAAGGAGCTGATAAAGGGCCCCAAGGCACGATGGCCCCTGCCACGTCTGATGCGGAGGTCGCCTGGAACGAGTGCTGCCAGGACGACTGGCTGATCCGCTTGCCACGCTGCCCCCCACACTGCCAAGACTGCAATGGGACAAGCACATCAATACATCTCACACTCTGTTAGAAACATAACATTATTTTCAATTAAAGTTTTACCTGCATTGAGAGAAGACATGTCCGACATCCTGTCTGATTATACATCAGTCAGTCCACTTACTTAAGTCAGCTGGCTGTACCATCAGTGAAATGTGAATGTTTATGCACTGTAATGGCTAATATTCCACCACCAGTTTCCAGCCTCTTGTACCAGAATGCCATCCTCATTTCACCTTCACATGATGCAAATTATTTTAATAAAATAAGCTCTGACGACTGAGCATTACATCTGATATGGACAAACTGCTCGTCTAGTTCCACAAGACATGGCAAAATAACGATTATATTCGGTGTGGTGAAAATGCTACTCAGTATTCACAATAAGTTATCATATGCTAAAATCAACTTCTAAGTGTTGTTTTCACGTGTTTTATTAAGTTGTAACTGGTGCAGTTCAGCCATCTCAAAATTGAGCAATTAATCAAACAATCACTTCCTAAAATCCTGACATCCTTATTCCTGTTTCATGCCCTTCACAAGAGCTTCACGCCTTGTCTACACCCATTCTGGCTTTCACTTCTGCAGCTGACAGCTTATCATTGCCCTGAAGCTTGGGACCATCACAACGTAAATGAATTCAAAACCGATTGTCTCTTCCCTATCTTTATCACTTCATTAGATGATTTAATAACATTTTGAATCAGTTACAACAAAGAAAGATCTGAAACAAACCACTAATGGCTGCCAGAGCAATGCCATCAAAATACCTGAAGAGACTGCTGAGGCTGTAATTGCTAGAATTGAACAGATGGTTGCGGTTCACCATGCGCAGGAATCCCAAGCGGTCACCATCTTGCTGGTTTAGCCTGTCTCCAACCTCCTCCAAATGCTGAGACCACATGTCCGATGCATCCATCTCACAGGTTCCGCCATTGTCCTGTCCCATCACATTCCCACCTCGAACCCTATAAAACACATTTCGTGGCTACGTTATTCACAGCGCACACATCAGTCAGATTTTTCGTAAAGGTCGCAAGTGAGTTCGCAGTGTATAGGTAGAAAACTATTTTACTGTAT